CATGACTATTGTAATCAAAAGGGAAGTCAAATGAAGAAAGCAAAAATAACTCCAAGGGAACAAACTTTCTTTATGAAAGGATGGACATTGGAAGGGGTATTTGCAAGAAATGTCTTGCAAGTGTCAAGAACACACCTTTCGAAGGTGTTGTAAAATGTTCTTGAATAATTCAAAACCAGTTGGTTTTTCTACTTGAATACATGATTCTGTATTAGCAACTATGTTTTACAATCGTTGTAAAAGTGTGGCTAATAAGAAGTAGAAGATAAATGAGAGAAGAGAAAGTACTTCACATTCCGAAAGTGAATAAAATATGGATCTCTGCGAAAGCGGATTGTACTTACTTCCTCATATGAACTACCAAAGAAATTGGAAAATACTAAAGATTGTCTTTACATTCCAATTTTAGGGAACTTAAATCCGTCACTATAGTAGAGATGGATAAATGTTTTGTTTGACAAAAACATTGTTCTTTATTAATCAATAATTAGATTATTGTAATTTAATTGGTTGTCTCTATAGTAGAGATGATGTGGTAGTTTAACTGTTTAGAATACGATGATGCTTAAAACCCAAAAGGTTGCAAGGTAGTGACTAATCCCAACTGAGTTGTGATACCTCTAAAATATAAGTTACGAGTTGGTCATAGATGGATGCTTTGGATCGTTAGATCCGGATCCAATACCTTCTTGTTAAAATTGTATAGAGGCGAAATGTTCGAATCTTTATTCTTTTGGAAAGAAGAAAGAATCACAAAGTTGTTGAGGTTAATTCACTTAGATGTTAGTGGCACTTGTCCACAACATAATACTACTCATGTTGTATGACATTCACCGAAGATCACTCTCGGTTGGACTATAGTTTATTTTGAATAAACACAAGTCCGAATACTTTGCAAAAGGTTTCAAAGAATTCAAGAAATGTAAGTAGATGAGTAAGACGTCTAAAGTATTTACCTCCTTAGATTTGATCCAAGGAAAAAGTAACACTTTAGATTAATTTTCTTGAAAAATATCAAGGAAAGTAGCATCGTAAGATAATGAATTTCTCCATTAGGAGAAGAATGAACATGAATAAGATTTAGTTCGTTGGACATTATCAATTACCCATATATATATGATATGTACTTCTAAGACAACCTAGTTCCTATACCACAAGCTCCAAGGTAGTCCAGAAGGATTTATAAACCATCTCAGTTGAATGGTTTGGACATAATATGGGTTTCCGAAACCATTATTAAGATAGTCTTGATAATATATGTCTAAAACTATAAATCACAAGACAGGTTAGTTGTAGAGATCCATCCATCATGGATCTTAGCAAGCTAGTAAGAGCTATAAGCGTCTTATGAGAAAAGATCAATTGTTTGATTTCTCATAAAGATGTAAATGAATCTTTTGTTTACTAGGTTTACAAAAGATTAGTGGGAGTTGATCATATTCCTAAATTTGAATATATATACATGATATATATTAATTTTGAAAATGAAAGGAATTCTTCATCGTTAAAGTTATGACTTTAAACATTCTATAATGATAGAATGTATATGGGAGACATAATCTATATACATGGGATGGAAATCTATAATGATAGATTTCAAGATATAATTGGATTATATCAATCCCTAAAATAGACAATGAGATGCTAGGAAGTTTCTCATATGATGATAAACTTCAATTAGAATGACAATTCTAGTGAGACTAGGAAGTTGTTCTTCTCAAAGGGAATGTACCCTTTGACTCCCAAAGAAATAATGCGTAAATAGAATCCTTTATGCATACGCAGAAAGGTGATTTATGTATTACATATTGTATGAAAACATTGATATAAGTTGTACCTAGAACGGTACAAGATGATATCAGTGTAAGCCCAGGATCAGAACCATGGCAACTGTCAAGTGAATCCTTAGGTATTTAAGAAATACTAAGGATGGATTCCTCAAGAATGAGGAAGAATTAGAGTAACGTAATGGAAGCGTAAATGTATTAGATTATGAATCTAATCCATCATAGAATATCTTTTCATTATGAATGAAGTGATAATGAGATATCTCTTTAATATGACTAAAGAGATATTTGGGTGGAAAGGTTAAAAGTAAATGACTTTAATGTATTCCATCATGTATGCAAAATATATTGCCATATAGAAGCTTACAACATTGTTGTTTGGATGGGAAAGTTCATTCATGAACTCTCCATTCGGTTCCAACCAGAAAGTGTATGACACTAATGGGGCGATAGCTCAAGCCAGGGAATCAAGGTCTCATCAAGGTCCGAACTCAAATGAGAGATTGAACCACATGATTGAGAATCATGTATAATGGTGACGTCGTTATTCTCAAGGTTGCTTCTATGGATAACATATAGATATCCATTGTCTAGGCCTACTACTCAGCCATTTATGAAATGACTACAGAAGAGGTATCATCACTGATGACTAAGCTGATTGGCTCTAGTGCAAGTGGGAGATTGTTGGAAATGTGCCCTAAAACCAATCATATGATGATACTTTATGGACATTTCACATGTTAAACTAATCTAGTTTAATATTAAGGGCAAACATTATTGTTTGAGCCGTCTCATATAAATGTTATATGCTTAAACGATAAGTCCAAGGAATATGTGATTGGAAGAATGCGATCTAAAGAAGTTAGATTCATGAGACCACTCTTTCGTTGACACATCCTAAACGTTCCTGATCATAGGATTGTCAATTGGGCATTGACAGTCCGTTAAGATCAGTACGTGCTATGTCTTCTCTCAGGGAGAGTGACTAGTCTCGAGTCATTGGTGTGTGTGACATCAAGACAAGTACGTAGGTGCTCAATAGAGAATGAGTTCACTGAACACGATCAACGAAGAGTTCTCATATTCATGTCACATGAGAACTCATGGTTGGGATAATGCAAATTAGTCTTTTGACCTGAGGCATCACAGTTGTCTTGTGGTTAGGTCCTTAATCTTTGATTATGTCAAAGTCACTCCATCATGAGGGTGTCCATGGCATCATTGGGGTTAAGCCACTTAGCCATGGAGGCAAGTGAATGCGCAACAAGAGATCTCTAACCTTCAAACTGTTTGAGGGAGAATACTCTATGATATGATTTTGAATTTTTGGCCAAAGTATGAATGAGATTTAGGAATGTGTTCCAAATCACATTCAAGGTAATCATATAAGCACAAGACTCACATTGGATAGTAGACATGAATAAACTATCAAACCAAACAATGTGGTCAAGAGTATTGTATTAGAGAAAAACCGTATTGCATTTGTAATCCTAAAACTGAATAGGTTCTCCACCTCTTCTGATTAGCTTGGGTAACCATGACATGCTGCTAGGCGTCAACCATGGTTTGTGGAAGCCCTAAAAGTGTATTATCACTAACGGGAGAATTGAAAGTAAGTTTCAATTCACAATCGATTAGAAAGATTTTTAATCGCCCACTGCCTCGCTAAAAGGAACCTAATGTATCGTTCACCGAGTAAGGTAGAGTTTGAAGAAACAACGGAGATGAGTAAGAATAATTAAATGGTTTAATTATTTATCTAAGGCTAGGATTAATTAATATGTTAATTAATCAAACGAATAAGTTCGTTAAAGACCTCGAGTTAGTTTTGGGCCGCAAGGCCCAATGGGATTTGAATGTCAAGCCCATTAACTCAAGTTGTATGACAACTTGAATAAACAAAGGGCTTGAAAGCCCAATAAACCTATAGGCCGGCCATGTGTAAAAGGATAGGGCTTTTGGTCCATTAGGTCACTTATTTGAAGGGACTATATAAAGGACTTTATAGCCTAAAATTTACTAAGGGTTATTTTTTGGGGAAAGGATGAGAACACAAGCTCTCCTTTCTCTCTAAAATTTCGGCCAACCTTGGAGGGATCATCTAGCAATCAAACTCCTCCAAGGTCACTCATTTCTTCTTCATTATGCCTTGGTGATGAATAATTATAGGTTCTCAATTTTGGGAACTTGGAGAAACCTTTTCATCCATCCAAATCCATGGATCTAAGATGCAAGGAATGAAGGCCCTCTCTTTGGGTGATTAGCCTTTGCTTATGCAAAGAGGAATCTACAAAGGTATTGATTTCTCAACTCACTTTGTTTTGAGTTGAGTCTTGGTTCACCTATCTACTAGGCTTTGAATTTCATGGGTAAATGTTTTGTTTTTAAGTGCATACAAGCATGATTCCGCCTTTAATTGTTAATTGCATGCTATTGATGTTGCTTAAATGAACATGTTTTTCACAAATCTTCCTTCAGGGTGAACTTGTTAAAATGTGGGTAAATGAGAAATAGAACTGGTATTGGTAATTTAAAATTTTTATTGTGCACTCTTCAAAAATATATTTTTCTTTTTAAACATAAAAAATTTGAAGTGCAATAAAAAATTTCGATTGCCAATAAAAGCACCCAAAATGTAAAGTTATATCTTCTTTTACATTTTGTCGGAGATGAGCCAACTCAAAAAAAACAAAAGTAAATGGATCTCAAATTTACATATTTCTCCTAAGATATAACTCACATATCATATCTTCAGAAAATATAAAATGGAATGAATATAATTCACTCATCTCAAATTTGTAATTTTGCATTGAGTATATGCTCAAACAGATCAATCGATAGGACACGTAATATAATATATTTACAATGATTAGTGACTATCAAACAAAAAAACAAACATACTAATCTTGTCCTGAATTAATTATGAAGTATGATCTTACATGAATTGGTGATAGCATTGTATTTAACAACGAGATTATTTTTTGCATCAATTATATATTAGACCAAGCCTTCCCATGCATCAAAATAATTGGTCCACATATACGAAGATATTTTTAAGCGTCGGTTGGCCAAATTAAAATTACTATTAAAGATATACTGCAACGTCAACTAAAAGATCCCAGCGGACTTGTTTGTCTATTTTGGTGTTAGGAGTAGATGAGAATGCTTGAAATTAGTATCTCAAAAATAATTTCCTGGATACTCTAGACGACTGCGGATGTAGCTCAAATGGTAGAGCGCCCGCTTTGCATGCGGGAGGTGCAGGGTTCGATCCCCTGCATCTCCATATGTTTTAAATATTTTTTGGTTCAGCTCAGTATGTGTAATACGTGTGCATACCTTTTTCCTATGGCCCCAAATTTAATTTTACGTCTGATCTTTATATTCTATTGGCACCACAAAGGAATTACATCAAATAACTTGTTTAAAGGTAAAAATATTCAACCATTTGGGGATTTCTCAATATTTTAATATTCAGTTTTCGTATAGGTTAAAACAGCACCTCACCACATAAGTTTAATGTTTTTTTAGCTTTTAGTTGTGTGGAAAGGAAAAAATAAGACATATTACTTAAATTTAAGATTTATATATCTACATACACCCCACAAACCCTACTTGTTCATCTTCTTCTCCAAAACTAGTCTTATGAGGCTCGACCATCGACCCTTTATGCATCTTGTGATTACGTTTTCTATCCCAAATAAGATGGGACAAATTTGGATGGATGACTAGACTTGAGATAGACAAAATAAAACAAAACGGCCCAAATTTTGTGTTTTCCAGTGGCCTTTTTTGTGGAGCAAAAAATAATCAAGAAAATTATGAAGACGACACGTGGACTTTTGGGTTAAAAGGATAAAATTACCCTCAAGGCATACCAGGATTTCCACTCACATGCAACGGACAATAACGGCTCAATCAAGGAAAAGTCAAAGGTGCTTAAAATGGTATTTATTCAAAACCCTCTCATCACTCCTCATCAAATTCTCACTCAAAAGGTAACTCCCAATCATCCTATTTAAATTAGGATTGATTACCAAGTTAATTGCAAGATATTGTTTCACATAATATATTGCAATTAAAATCATAATACCACCATAAGTGGCCGGTCCCTATTCTCCAAATAGGGCCAACCACTCCCCTATAAATAGTCCCATTTTTCTCCAAAAAGCTAAGTTGATTCTCTCCCCAAAAATTCCTAAAACACTTTCTCTCTCAAATTCTAACTTTGGCATTAGAGATTCTTTGGCCAAAAACCCCCCCATTCATCATGGGCGCGTGAGGCTTTTGGCCTTAATCTTAGGTGTTATTATTTTGTAGGTGAATTTTCGTCAAAGAAGAAGACGGCGGAAATCTGCATCCACAAATTGGTGCTTTCATTGAGAGTCTTGATTTACACGCTCAAAGAAGACTCTCGCATTCAAAGTTTCTCATTTTTTGTTCATTCATAGATTTTTTGTACGTCCTTATTCCTAATTTTTTTTTTATATAAAGTTCTTTGAATAAACGTAAAAGAAAAGTATAATGACTAGAAATTTAGAAACCACGACGAATGGAACTTCCTATGTTCATGGATTTGGATCGAGGGACGGAGATCGTGACATAGCCCTACCACGACTATCCATGAGGCTCAATGCTACAACGAGTAGAGTGACACCACCCTCACAGGGCACCATCGTGGCAACCTTTGGCAAGCCCACGACTTATGGTGATCAGCAAGCCCAGGCGTCGAGAGCAGCCCAAGCCGCTGCACGAGCAGCATAGGCCCAATCTCAACGCATGGCCCAAATGGCCTAAGGCCAGCGTGAGCCTAACGCGTTGCCGAGCCAAGCCCAAGCCCAACGCCCACACATACCACACGTGGCCCAACCCACGCCAACAACTCAATCCAAGATCCAGCCCACTCCTGTGGCCTTCCAAGCAATCCAAACCGGTCCAAGATCGGTTCAACTATCTCTGCTTCAAATTTATGGATCGACGATTGAACCGGGGCTATTTTCACCCAATTTTTTTGCGAATTTGACATATTCCAACTCAAATGTTACTTCCGGAGTCCATGACACTTCCACTACTCAAGGAGACGCATACTGTCCAAGCTCTTCCAACCCAAATGGCGAACCACACATGTCTCGACAAGTCATAGAGTTGACAAGCACCCTCGCACAACAGAAGACCTTGGTGAATAAGCTCTTGCAAAGCACTGAGATGCAACATGCCCCAAATGAGCAGTCCCGAAGTAGGACAAAGGTAGATGACAAACCTCTCTAACAGCGTCCCGGTAAACAGCCACTCGACCAATCATGAACTGAGCATTCTAGCAGTGTACACTCCCGACTAGGCTCCCGAGATAGCGTATACTCTCATCTTAGCGCGTAGAGGATTGTGCATTCTCAATTAAGCCCATGAACGAGCATACATTCATGGTTGAGGTCACACTCCGATAATCAACATGAGCAACTTTCCAAGCGAAGTGTTCATTCACGACTAGGCCCGCAAGAAGCATCATCCACCTCACATCAAAGTATGCAGCATGACAAGTGGAGGAAGTAGATACTCAATCCGACTTAAGTTCAACCGGTAGCCTACGAGAAATTTACTCGCCTACTAGAAACGTACCACATGCACCACAGCTGCGGCATAAACGAGCCGAACACATATAAAAGCAGCTTAGACCAGCAGGTCAAAACTGAGGGCAACCGAGAGCTCCGCTACCCTAACAAAGGCAAATTCAAGAAGAAGTAGAGAGGCTCTTAATCGAGCAATTGTTCGATTTCCAACGTAACGAGGTCACTGATGTTGCGTTACGACGGGACATGACCAACATAAGCAGGTCACTCTTCACGGACGAGATCGAGCATGCAGAACCACCACGCAAGTTCAGCATGCTATATTTTACATCCTTGAAAGAAGATAGAGACCCAGAGAGACATTTGAAGCACTACCGAAGCATAATGGTCATTTATCGGAACAACAATGCTCTTATGTGCAAGGTATTCGCCACCACTTTACAAGGCGAGGTGTAAGATTGGTTCCACACCCTGCTGCCACAATCCGTCTGGAGTTTCGATGAGCTTTCTTTGGTTTTCACCAAAGAATATTCACCTTACAACTCGATTAAGAAGAAGTCCAACCACTTGTTCAATGTGAAGAAGAATCCAAAGAGGTCGATCCAACTATCTGAAGAGGTTCAAAGTAGTGAAGGCAGATATAGTCCGATGTAATGACTCGATAGCTAGTTCAGTCTTCCAAAAAAGACCCCCAACAGACCAACCACTGTTTGGAGAATTGATCATGAATGAAGATCTAACTTTGGCACACTTTTTCACTTTGGCAGAGAAGTATGCACTTTGGGACGAAGCTTAGCGAGTAGACAAGATGCCCGAGCATCATTTTCAAGAATTGGCAGTAGCTCAAAAGAAGGAGGACGGGAAGCAGTACAACAACAAAGGCATGCAAGAGGCTAAGCTTAGGGACCGATTGATGACTAAAAAAGGCCCGACGCCCAAGAACTACTCTAAGTTCTCGATCTCGATCCACCAAATCCTCCGCGACTTCAAGAGCTAACCATGGTTCAAGCTGCCAAAATAATCGAATGGAGATACTTCCAAGTTGGATCACACCAAGTATTGCCCATTCCATCGAGGTCCTAGTCACACAACTGACAACTGGTACACTTTGAAAAACTACCTAGAGAAGCTGGTGAAAGAAAGCAAGGTCGATAAATACTTAGACAAGCTAGTTGCACATCCTAGGAGAAACGTCGAGTCATCGAAGAGCCGACAACCAAGACAATTTGAATTAATAGCATCTTCGCCGAATCCGAGCACTTAGAGGCCATCAACAACTCTAAGAAAAAGAAGATCCAACATGTTCTACTAGTAGTCAGCACCTAACCTGGGCCCATCATCAGCTTCCCTGAGCAGGATGCCAAATGCGTCAACTTTCCACTTAATGACGCCTTAGTGGTATCTGTCAAACTAGCCCACGCTATAGTCGACAGAATGATGGTTGACAACGGAAGCGCGATCAACCTACTTCAGCTCTCAATAATTCAGAAGATGGGCATGGAAATCACAACATACACCAAGATGAGGTACATACTGGATTCAATGAACACACCTTGATTGTCATCGGCAACATCACACTTGACGTGAGAACACCGCCAGTTATCTTAAATGAGACGTTCACGATAGTAAACGACCTGTCCCCTACAATGGGATTTTAGGGTGACCTTGGCTGATAAAGCTAGATGTTGTAACCTTCGTCAAGTATCAAAAAATCCGATTCCACATCCCAGGAGGAGAAGTTTGAGAAATCAAGTCTAATTAGGTCACATCTCGACAATGCACTGTGTAAGTACTGAAGGAGAAAAAAAAAAAAAAAAGACCTTTACCCTCGTAGAGGCTACCGAGGTCTAAAAGGATGACGAAGCTGCCAAATAGCAATCACAGCAGACAGATCAAGAAGATGATGTCCAATTCAAGGCGGCAGTAAACGAGATAGGATGGAAACCCGACGAAGACGCCGAACAAATCATTCTTGATCTTCAGCATCCAGAGAAGACTGCTAGAATTGGCTCACGTCTAAGCCCGAAGGAAAATGAGGAACTCACGGCTTTCCTTAGGGAAAATCGTGACATCTTCGCGTGGTCACCTTCTGACATGCCTGACATCGACCTTAAGATAGCTTGCCACAAGCTGCACGTTAACCCCATTGCCAAACCAGTGATCCAAAAAAGAAGACATTTTATACCCGAATGAGTAACGATCATCGAAGTAGAAATCGACAAGTTGTTGGAGGCCAAATTTATAGAAGAGGTAGCACACTCAGCATAGCTTGCCAATGTCATGCTAGTAATGAAGAAATAGAAGGGAAATGGAGGATTTACATAGACTACACTGACCTCTACAAAACTTGCTCGAATGATCCTTAGCCAGTTCCCCGAATCGATCAACTAATAGATTCAACTTTTAGGAACCAACTGCTTAGTTTATGGGCGTATACTCATGATCAAGCGAGGCATCTACTGCTACAAGGTCATGCCTTTTGGCCTCAATAACGCTAAAGCCATTTACCAACGATTGGTAAACATGATGTTCAAAAAGCAAATTGGAGTAACCATGAAGGTCTACGTCGACAACATCATGGTGAAAGGCAAGCAGCGATCAGACCACATCGTCAACTTGGCCAAAACTTTTGACATCCTTGGAAAGTATAAGATGAAGCTCAATCCCGCTAAATGCACATTTGAAGTATTTTCAGGCAGATTCTTAGGGTACCTAGTAA